CTAGAACTCCTAGAAATTCCAACTTATTACAGATACCTTTTCTCCCATGGATGAAAAGGCAGTTTTATGCAAACTGTCACATACAGATGCATTTACATTCAAACTGTATGCTTCACTGCAACTCGGTGACTTTCCATTTTCTTCTATGAAAAAGCACCTGCATCCAACTAGAATTTAAACAGGCTGTATAAAGTAATTCAATAGCAGCAAATGCACTATTTAAAAATGAATCAATCTGAGATATGTAATGGTTTTAGACTGAAGCAGCTGTTTTATAAAATATACATATGCAATGACATTTCTTTTAGTGGAAGCAACTTGCTGAAGAATTTGAAAGAATCTTTTAACATATAAAACAGACCAATTAGAAAATAAATAGCTACCAAGAAGCCTATATCTATGGTTATTCTATTTTTGAGACAAGAATAGAGATACATGAATAAACAGAAATTTTTTCATCTTTGTGAATTTATAGGAATTCTTGCAAAAGTATTAAAAAAATGAATCCCATTCAGTTCATCTTTTTAAAACTTCTTAATTGAAATGAATAAAATTACTAAATCAAAATGCTCAGCAAAATCTTGGATATGTGATTCACTTATAGTTAGCATAATCATGAGATTCTAAGAATTTTGCTACCATTTTGGGGACTAACTGATGATGACAGACTAGAGATAAACACTTAGATGCCAATTCCAATTCTCTGTACCATGAAAGAGAAAAAAAGTACTTTAACGTATAAGAAACTGTGAAACAGCACAAATAAAACCCCATCTTGTATGCAGATTATCAGTTAAAGTGAAATTAGTACTTTAAATTATCAACTTACAAGTGGAAAATTTAACATTTTCAAAATGATATTCACTGAATTACCTCTATCTTTCCTGATTCATATAATCAAGCTAGCTATAGATATAACTCAGCTATCCACTTATATTTATGTCTACGTATTTGCGCAAAGTTAAAACACTTAAATTTGATTAAAAACTTTCTGAATCAATGAAAGCAAAGTCATTATTATTTGGAAAACCAACCATTGACCATAATGAATATCTTAATTATTTTGATACATGAAATATGCAATGTAATTATTTTTATGCTGGATTATATTGGGAATTTCCCTACACTTCATATTTAGTTAACTGATATATTACAAGAACAGCGATATTTTTCTTTTTAAAAATGAACTTTAAAACTTCTATAAATTTTTAAAATTCTGATTTATAAGTCATTATTGCCATCTGCTGGTTATACAGTTTCATTGCATTTTGGGGTAAAAATTAGCAATTCTTTTACTAAAAGAGAAAACAGACACAAGTTTTAGAAATAGATGACTGGAAAATCTCTATGTAAGAGAAACAATTTACTAAATCACAAGGTATCTTCATCTCAAAGAGGAAAAAATAATTCGAGAATACATTGCATTATATCAAATTATAATGCACTATTTTAATTGTCAGTTCATCGTAGAGTATCAGGCATACTGATTTAAGTCACTGTCATTAATAAGCATAAAGCTAAAATATGACTTAAATAACTGTTCAAAATAACTAGCTCAAAATAAGTGAACTCTGTTAAAGAAGTTAAAAAAGATGAAAACTTGTCAGATTCTATTCAAGCAAAAAAAACTGAGCGCCATGTTTTCCCTCACATACACAATCTATCCCTCTCCTTACTGAGAGAACGCAAAATTATTTAGGCAACTGTCTCTCAGTATTCTGAGTTAACTAGTGAACCTTCAACTCGTATTACTGTTTAATAATAGAATTAACATATAACTTAATGACAAAAATCCAGGTGAGCAAAACATTAATTGGAAATAATACTCATCAGTATACTCTGAATATGGTCACTCTAGAGCAAGATATAGTAATAATTTTATTTTATTTTATTTTTTGGCCACGCTGTGTGGCCTGTGGGAGCTTAGTTCCCCCACCAAGGATTGAACCTGCGCCCCCTGCAGTGGGAGGGCAAAGTCTAAACCACTGGACTGCCAGGGAAGTCCCCAAGGTATAGTAATAATTTTAAAATTAAGCATATACTCTTTTAGATGCTTTACTATGTTTTAGGTACTTCAGCATTTTTCAGATCAGGAGATAAATTAGAGCAGTTAAGTTACTGGCTAAAGGTAATCTTGGTAAACTTGCATATATGAGTCCTTTATGTAAAAGATTTAGAATGGAGCATGGAACACAGTTAATTCTATGTGTTTACTATATATCTGAATCATATATATCCTGCTTATTTTACCTTTAACACTATATCATGAGTATTTTCCTATGTTGTTAAATATTCATTCAAAACGACTTTAGTCAATTTAGTAATGCTTCACTGTTATCAGTGTTCTGTAATTCATTGTTTGACATGGAGATTACTTCTAATTTTCAATTATATAAATAATAGTACAATGAACATTATTATAAAAATTATTTTTTAAATGCCAAAAATGACCAGATTTGTACTTTCAAGGGCTAGACCAACAGAAAGAATACACTTTATTCTGTTAGGACATGGAGTGATCCAAAAGACAACTGGAAACTCCAAGAAACAAACAAATTCACAAAAGGGAAACATAAGAAATAGGCAAAATAGACTGAAAAGAAGGAGACCAAAATCAGAAAGTTCAAAGTTTTACAAGAAAATGTCACTAAAAATGACATCTGGCCAACATTCCAGTAGCAGCCACTCCTTACTTCCCACAAAAATACCCACTCCTCATGAAAAACAAGGACATAAAACTTATAAAATCACTTAAATGAATGACCTATCAACAAGGACCCTCAGATTACCTTTTAAAATATTCAACAAGGTATAACTTAAAATAAACACATCTATTAAAATCACAGAGATTTGAAGGATAAACAGATTAACTGGGAAAACACTGATTTTTTGAAAAGGCACAGATGGCCATATCAATTTCAAGTAAAAGTAGGGTGTATAATTCAGCTGACTTGAAACGTCTATTGGAAAATATAAATTTCCCAAATTGATACCAGAAGTAGTAGACAATGTAAATACATCATTAATAATGAAGGAAACTTAAAGACTAAAGAAAAATAAAAAGGCTCCAGAACCAGATGTTCTAATACATACAAAAGATGCAAATCCACCCAATTCATTTTATAAGTTTAACATAATTCTACAATTCCCTTTTTATTAAAGGGAAACAAAATCACTGCACTCCAAAAACAATATTAAAATACTCATATGAAAAAATAAGGTTTTTTTGAATCTGCATATTTACTCAATAATATATTTTTATCAACCACCCATAAGTATCTTGTATTTTAAACTCAGGATTGGACGATTTATTAGCTGTTAAAAGTTGGGTAAATCATTACATCCTTGACCCGCGGTTTCCTAATTCATACAAAGTTATCGTGTGAATTAAATGCGAAAACTTTTTTTTTTGGCCCCGCCGCTGCCGCGGGGGCCCCTGGCCTTAGCAGCGAAACCGCGGAGTCCTAACCACTGGACTGCCAGGAAATTCCCTAGATGCGAAAACATTTTAAGCACCAAACATAGTGCCAGGGATGTAGAAACACTCCTTGAAGAAAATCTTACAAACCAACAAATTAATATTAGCACTTATTGAATTTAAATAAGTGACAAGATGAATAATATTGTCAGTAACTGCTTTAGACCTTCAGAGTAGGGAAATTAATGTGGGCTGGGGCTCGGAGGGTGATAGAATTGAGATGGGCAGGCAGAAATGGATGAAAAAGCTACAGGAGGGCTGTTCGGTATAAGTAAACGGATAGTTATGGAGTCACACTACGGACCTCACTTGTAATGACTGGAAAGGAAGATTTGTGGGAAACTAAACTTGAAAGGGCAGACTGGGGCAGCTTGCTGAAGGTACCGATGAACAAGCTGAGGAGTTTACGTTTTATTTGCGGGCTAATGGGAGCCACGAGCATTTCTGAAGGGTGTGGTATGCGGAAAATTAACCTGGCCACAGTGAGCCTAGATTAGATGGGGGAGAAGGAGCTTAGGGAGTTCGATCCATGATCAAACAGATGGGACGTGAAGCGGCGTGGCCTGTAACAGAGGACATGAAAAATATCAATGGCCCCTGTCCATCTTTGCCAGCCGCCCTGGCATCACGTGTGGCTGTGCAGTGACTATGGGGCTCCCCTCTCACATGTTCCTGGGTGGTCCCTGGTTCAGAAGGGGGAGACTACTGAGCGCAACTCCGCGCTCAACTGCTGACGAATTCTGAGCAACCTTGTTGGGGGTCACAATTTCACTTCAGAATGGATTAATAAGCGCTGTCCTCAAAGGGGACATCACCGAATTCCTGTCAACCAGAGGCTATGGGGTTAGACTCACCGGGCTGACGCCTGCTCTGCCACCTGCGGCCTCGGGTCACTGCCTCGGCGTAGGAGACGGACTGAGTACCCAATGCTAAGTGTTCCAAGGCGGCGAGGAGAGACGCTCCCAATAAGTGCCAGGTGCATCACAGGCGCCCACTTCCTTCCCTCGCTCTCCTTCTACGGTTATTTCTTTCAGTTGAGATCTCCTTTGCCTTCAATAACCTCGAGACAGACAATCTTTTGGTAAAAATAACAAAGCTAAGCCTAAAGTCGAAGAAAGTTCCTTAGACTTGTCCACCAGCAGCGTAGGGCAGCGGTGAGATGGGCGGCGCACGTGAGAGGATAAGCGTGAGGAGACGCGCGTGAGGCTCTGCGCGGCGTCCGCTTACTTGGGGCTGTACACGTGGAGGCGCACGTGGGAGGATGCGCGCCGAGCTGCGCGCAGGGTCTGCGCACGTGGGGCTGCACGCGTGGGCGGCGCACCGGCCGCGCGGGGCAGCCTGGGCCTGACGCCGCCCCCCTTCCAGGATTCGCGGTCGCCTTGACTACCCGGTGGCCCGCAACGGCGGCAGGGACTAGTCGTTGAGGCTGCGAGCCGAGCCAGACACCTGCGGACGTCGCCCGACTCGGCCGGGCCCGCGCCGGAGAGAGTAGCAGCTCCATCCGAACAGGGACTATGAGAAAATGGTCGGGCAAACGAGGAACAAGCTCAAAGAAGCGGCCTCAGAGCCGTCGTACTCTCTCCGCTCCACGCAGTCTAAGCAGCGGCGGCGCCGGGCCACCGGAGCCGGAGAGCCGGAGTTGGACGAGGAGCCGAAGGGGAAGGTGAAAAAGACGGAGCTGCCTTTGCCCGCACGCGGGGGGAACCTGTCAGGGGGCGCCCGGAAGTACTCGCCGCGGAGGACCCGAAACCTGAACGCGCAGAATTGCCTGCAAATGGAAGTGGTCGGAAGGACCGTTCTTCTCGGCCGCTTTCAATTCCTCAGATGTTTCATGGAGCAGCTCCGCGATAAGGTGCATCTATTGCGGAGATATCAGTTCACGGGCAGTATGACCCTCGGCATAGGTGAGCAGAGTCGACCGGGGAAAGCCCTCGGCAGGAGCCCCGACGGCTCGAGGCCCAGCACTCCCGCGCGGTAGGCTCGCATCCGAGGGACCCGCGGGCCCTCTGAGCCTCGGGTTGGAAGTGGTTTTGGTGAATCTTGCAGATCAGTTTAACAAGCAAGTCTAGCAGCAATAATGGCGAGGTCCAATCTCTGGAAAATCGCTGACAAGAATTTCCAGTCCCCTTCTTTTAAAGTTCTTTTAAAACATTTTCAAGGGTTTTCAGGAACAGTGATCACTTCATGTGTCACCAACAAAATGTCATCTTAAGGCAGCCATTTATCACAAGTTGTGAAAATGATAGGGTAGCTTTTGGGGGGGAGAGGTCAGACATTGTATTTTTCTGCACCTTGAATAAAGCAAAATAAACTGTTGGTTATTTTAATGAGTTGAGAATCTTTAATAGCGGAAATAGAGTCACATTAGGCAATATATTTACCCATGTTTTCCATTTATTTTCATCTTACTGAGGAGCTTTGATGCTTAAATTTTCTTCTTATTTAAGCATTTGAAATATGTTTATTTGTATTCCTCATTTTCTGTAGCTTAAGACGTAACTTAAATATTACTGTTTCATTAAAATCAGTTTTGAGCCTAGTCTTTCGTCAGACTGGCTGCTGATGTGTATTGAAACATGGATAAATGTCTCCTAATGTAAGTACTGTGATTTCTATCATAAGTTGACTGCTGATGTTAATTAAAGTAGAATGAATGTCCACATTTGGGGTGTGTTGAAAATACTTGAGAAATAATAGATGGGGGTTCATATTTAGATTTTGTCAGATGTCTAATTATGGAAACAGATACATTCCACATCCAGAATCAACATGGTCTTGAATACAGAGGTGTTTTGCCCAAACACAAGCCCTCGTGCACCCATGACTGGCACATGGAAGGCACTCAATCAATGTTGGGTGAAATGATGAATGAGTATATTAAGTGCTATGAGAGTTCAAAACAGTGAACATACTGGAGAATGGGAAGTGGGAAATGAGATCAGATAAGACTTTTAGGAAAAGGTGGGATTTGAATTGTGACCAAAAGGCTAACATATGGATGCCTGAAGCACAGAACAAGTTTAGAGGCCTATAGAACAGCATAGGGCTTCCCTGGTGGCGCAGTGGTTGAGAGTCTGCTTGCCGATGCAGGGGACACGGGTTCGTGCCCCAGTCTGGGAAGATCCCACATGCCGTGGAGCGGCTGTGCCCGTGAGCCATGGCGCGGCTGTGCCCGTGAGCCATGGCCGCTGAGCCTGTGCGTCCGGAACCTGTGCTCCTCAACGGCAGAGGCCACAACAGTGAGAGGCCCACGTACCGAAAAAAAAAAAAAAAAAAAAATGAACAGCATAATCAGTCATGGAAGTAAGAAAATATGAAAGCAGAGGAAGGGTACAAAAAGAAGAGAAAGTAGGAAGTTCAAAAGGTTGGTTGGGACCAGCCATGGAGAGGCTAATTCAAGCCTAGATTTAAGGCATTTGGACTTCATTCTGTAGGGAGGCACCGATTGATTCTTTTCTTTAGGAAGATAATTTTTTAATGAGGTGAAATGCACATAACATAAAATTAACCATCTTTAAAGTGAACAATTTTGTGACATTTAGTACATTCACGATGTTGGCATTGAGTGATTTTTAAATAGAGTAAAATGATCAGAAGTGTGCTTCCGAGAGAATAATTTGACAGCATTGTGTAAAATGGACTGGATATGGACTGAGAAAAGAAGCAGAAAAAATAATTGAATGCTGGAATCCAGGCAATAGTGGTCTTAATGAGAGTAGCAACAGTAGGAATGGAGAAGAGAGGACAGAGGTGAAAGTTGATGGCAACAAATTGAGAGGAACTGGGTAGGTAGTGAGGTAGAAAAGGAAAAGAATGTGAGGAGAGGGAGAGAGAACATTTGTTCAGGCATGAGGAGTGTAGATTTGGGAATTATCCGTGTGGAAGTGAGTTGAAATGTTAAGATTGAGTGAGATTTCCAAGAGAGGAAAGAGAGCAAAGTAAAGCTATTTGAGAAAACCCGTTATACTTAGTTTTAAGAGGTGAGAGAAGGAAAACCAGATAGATAAGCATGTAAAAACAGAATGGTCAGAAAGAGTTGATATGATGGAAGATAACAGAGGAAGAAATCTAAGAATCTGGTCAAATGCTACAGAGAGATTGAAAAGCAGAAGTGAAAGAGGCCATTGATGTTGATCACTAACTGATCATTGGTCGTTTAAAAGAGTTATAGGAACTTAGAAGAAAGAAGTTGGCTAAGAATCTTGTTAGATAATGGCAGGGGGGTGGAGGAGAGAATATTTCATAGTTGGAAGGCCTACTAGATCAAGAGAAGTGTTTTAAGGCCTAGGAAAATTAAAGGCTGAAGGGAAGAACCAAAGGGAGAGGGTGGGATTAACGTTCCAAGAGAGGGAATACTTGATAGTGCAGTCTTGGAGTAAGTGGGAATGATGAAATTAAAGGCACAAATTTGAGATGCTAAGTGTTGAAAAGAAGAGATGCTTCCTCTTCTTAGATGGTAGAGAATAGAGAAGCAAAGATTACTATGTAGAGAAATGTTGAAGTGGATATAAGAGACTTTGGGAGTGCTCGCATTAAATGATCTTTGTTTCAGTAAAGTATAAGTTTGGGTCACTATCAGAGGTGAGATTGACAGAGACAGGATACTGGGGCCCAGGATACAGGGGCCCAGGAGACAGGCTTTTTATCACAACTTTGAAAGGAACTGTGATAAGCACTTCTTTAGTTTTACAATATTGGCATCATTACACCTTACCATTTTATCAGGTGTGGAATGTGGAGTAAGGGGAGGGAGAGGCACACGAATATTTTGAGGGTTTTTGGAAAGCTAGCTGGACTTAGTAGGATATTTGATCTTTTCCTTAAATGTCATTTTTAAGAGTAATTGTCTGGAGAATGAGAAAGAGGATACAAGTATAGTTGAATAAGGCATTCTCTGTGCATCTTAAGAGTTAATGAAACCTTATCAGAGGGGCATCTGTTTTGAGTTGCGAGGGGAGGTATAGGTTTAATTTTAAAGTGGTTCAGAGTATATTATGTATGTATTAGATAGAAAGTTAACATATGTAGCAAGTATATAATTTTTCTATAAAGACCCAGGTGGTAAATATTTTAAGCTTCACAGGCCACATATGGTCTCTGTTAACTATTCTTCTTCCTTATTTTTATAACCCTTAAAAAATTTAACAAATATTTTTAGCTTGCAGACAATACAAAAACAGACCATGGGCCATAGTTTGCTGATCGTGGCATAAGAATAGTAAATCTGAGAAATACTGAAGAGTGGTAGGAATGAGCTCAGGATGGTAAGACTATGGAAAAAGAGCTGGAGAAGCATGATTGGGAACTTTCAACAGTGCAATGTTTGTTTTAAAAATTATTAAATAGTTGTTTTAAAGGTATATTATAATGAAGCAGCTTTTAATGACTTTTTTCTTTTCTTCTTTTTCCAGCTGTCTTTGTGGCAATTTTGCACTGGTAAGATTAGTTTCAGTTTGAAATCAATGAAAACATTTGAATTAAAAATTGCCATTGCTGTTTGCATATAATAAAACAATAACTGCTTGTTACATGTATAGAACGTCTGTATGTGCACCAGTTTACATATATATATATATATATATATATAAAACCTTTTTTAAAACCTCATGTGAAGCAACTTTTATAAATGGATGCATTAGGGGAATAGTAACTTATGAATTAAAGTATTTTTGCTTTATCAAAGGATTCACCACTATATTTCTTAAATATCTAGCTTTTGTAGTATACTTTTCATATTTATTTCATGTAGAAAACTTCCTCATTTTATAGTAATTGAGTGTTGTTAGTGACATAAACTTAGAGATAAAGTTTCAGTGACACCTGTCATTGGAAATCAGGTAGAAATGAAGATAAACACTCTGTGATGGTAATACAGAATTAAATGAACCTTTCAGTATGCATACACCTGCACATAATTTTACACAAATGATATGTTTGTAAAAACTCTATGTAAAATAATATTTTTCCTCTGACGTATCTTCATTTCTACCTGAGCTCAAGGATTTCTACTATTGGGAAGAATGGGATCTGCCCCACATCCTGTTGGGACAGTGCTCTTCTGATCATTATTCTGCAGGGAGATTTTGATGTTAGAACTAAGGCTGTAATGGTAAGAAACATTTCCTACAGCTGTTGGTACCGTGGCATGTGTCCTATGTGTAAACGAAGGTGAGTGAAAGACAGGGTTGCTATATGGAATTTTGATTTATTTTTTACTTCATTGGAAAGCATCTACTATGTAAATTAAGGATAGCATAATTGCTGACAATAATTTATTTGTCACATATGCACCTGTTTTCAGTACCTACAGCTGTTTTTTTAAGTTGCATTAATAAAATATCTCAAAGTACAGTCCTGTGTTTTTTGGCACTTTGTGTAGTATTATACTTATTTAAAAATTGCTTTAACCTAAAATAATTTTATTTAAAATTATATTCCAAAGCTTTTCAACATTTAGAGGCATTTCCCAAACCTGGTACATTGGAAACACTTGTGAAACCTAACAAACAGACAAAAACATGCTTCTGTTCTGATTTAGAGGCCTGGAGTAGGAGGAAGGGTGATTAGATCTGCAGGAGTTTTAGATACATAATTAAGATTAGGAACCAGGGAGTTAAAGAATTTCAGCTGTGTGCTAGTGCTAGCTTATGAATGCCTAAAAATATACAAATTAGCAAGTTACAAAATTTTCTCAATATTTATTATAAAAATTTATTCTTTATCTTTTTATGGCTTTCATACTTTGTTTATAATAGTTATTTTAGTGCTGTTTTTGAAACATGTTATTTTTCTTCTAGGATACATTTAATAACACTTTTTGAAAATGATCGTCATTTTTCTCACCTCTCATCCTTGGAACGGGAGATGACTTTTCGCACTGAAATGGTTAGGTTCTTTCTTCTAATGAATTCATTTGTAGTTTAAGAATAGTGAGACTATAAGGTGCAAACTTATTAGGAACTGAAATGAATTTTTGGTGAATTGCACTGTTTCTCAAGCTATAGCCTATAGGTTTATTTTGTTTTATTTTTGCTGTTTTTTAAAAAAATTTTTATTGGAATATAGTTGATTTACAATGTTGTGTTAGTTTTAGGTGTACAGCAAACTGATTCAGTTATATGTATACATATATTCATTCTTTTTGAGATTCTTTACCCATGTAGATTATTACAGAATATGAGTAGAGTTCTCTGTGCTATACAGTAGGTCCTTGTTGGTTATCTATTTTATATATAGTAATGTGTGTATGTTAATCCCAGGTTCCTAGTTTATCTCTCCCCACCCCACTTTTCCCCTTAGGTAACCATAGGTTTGTTTTTGAAATCTGGCCTGTAGGTTTATTATTTAAATAAAAAAGTGTTTTAGTCCTCACACCATAAACAAAAATAAACTCAAAATGGATTAAAGACCTAAATGTAAGACCTGAAACCATAAAACTCCTAGAAGAGAACATAGGCAGAACACTCTTTGACATAAATTGTAGCAATATTTTTTTTGGCTCTGTCTCCTAAGGCAAAAGAAATAAAAGTAAAAACAAACAAATAGAGTCTAGTTAAACCTAAAAGCTTTTGCAAAGCAAAGGAAACCATCCACAAAACTTAAAGACAGCCTACTGAATGGGAGAAAATATTTTCAAATGCTATGACTGATAAGGGGTTAATATCCAAAATACATAAACAACTCATACAACTCAATATAAAAGAAAAAGTTAAAAAAATTGACAGAAGACCTGAATAGACGTTTTCCAAAGAATACATACAAATGGCTAACAGGCACATGAAAAGATGCTCAACATCACTAATTATTAGCGAAGTGCAAATCAAAACCACAATGAGATATCACTTCACACTTGTCAGACTGGCTGCCATCAAAAAGTGTACAGATAACAAATGTTGCTGAAGATGTGGAGAAAAGGGAACCCTTGTACACTGTTGGTGGGAATGTAAATCAGTGCAGCCATCATGGAGATTCCTCAAAAAACTAAAAATCGGGCTTCCCTGGTGGCGCAGTGGTTGAGAGCCTACCTGCCAATGCAGGGGACACGGGTTCGTGCCCTGGTCCGGGAAGATCCCACATGCCGCGGAGCAGCTGGGCCCGTGAGCCATGGCCGCTGAGCCTGCATGTCTGGAGCCTGTGCTCCACAACGGGAGAGGCCACAACAGTGAGAGGCCCGCGTACCGCAAAAAAAAAAACAACAAAACACCTAAAAATAGAACTACCATATGATCCGGGAATTCCACTCCTGGGCACATATCCAAAAAAACCCAAAAATACTGATTTGAAAAGATACATGCACCCCAATGTTCATGGCAGCATTATTTACAATAGCCATGATATGGAAGCAACCCAAGTGTCCATCAAGAGTTGAATAGATAAAAGAAGATGTAATATATACATATATAAGCAGTGGGATATTAACCATAAAAAAGAATGAAATTCTGCCATTTGCAACAACATGGGTAGTCCTAGAGAATATTATGCTTAGTGAAATAAGTCAGAGAAAGACAGATACTCTATTTTATCACTTATGTATGGAATCTAAAAAATAAAACATATAACAAAAAAAGTGTTTCAGGATTCTTTTTCTTTTACCTCATTCTCCTCCTCTCCTAAGGCAGACTCCTTTTTAAGATAATAAAGATCAATTATAATAGCTGAGAAAGAAGGAAAACAAAGACAAGGTTTAAGAAGTGATACAGGGGGCTTCCCTGGTGGCGCAGTGGTTGAGAGTCTGCCTACCGATACAGGGGACACGGGTTCGTGCCCCAGTCCGGGAAGATCCCACATGCTGCAGAGCGGCTGGGCCCGTGAGCCATGGGCGCTGAGCCTGCGCGTCCGGAGCCTGCGCTCCTCAACGGGAGAGGCCACAACAGTGAGAGGCCCGTGTACCGCAAAAAAATAAATAAAAAAAAAGTGATACAGGGCTACCAAAATGATCAGAAATTGTTTTCTCTTAGGGGGAGTTGGGAGACCCCATGTTTTATCTGGCTCTTTAAATTTTTTTTTAGCTCTCTTGATTTCAAGATAATTTCTTTTAAGAGACAACTTTTGATATAATGCTTTCTGTTTTTTAGACATCTAATCTATAAAATGGAGATAATCTATCTACCATATGTATTTCACATAATTGTTATGTGGGTTAAATGGGAAAAAGAATGCCAGAATTGCAGAAATTTACAATTAAGAGAGACCAGGGCTGTCTTCCAGATCAGCTAGTTAGGGGCCAAGAGAAGAATTGAAACTGGCCCTCCTGACTGTTTAGCTACTACCTTTGTTTTTTGGTTTTAATTGTGGCTAAATTAAAATAAAAAATTTTAATTAAAAAAATTAGCAAAATTTACCATTTCAATTATTTTGAAGTATACAGTTCTGTGGCATTAAATACACTTATATAGTTGTGCAACCATCACCACCATCCATCTCCAGAGCTTTATTATCCCAAACAGACTGTACCTGCTAAACACTTAACTCCCCACTCACACTCACTCCTCACCTAGCTGCTTGGTGACCTCTATTCTACTTCCTGTCTCTATAAAACTGCCTATTCTAGGTATCTCAGCCATTGCTTTTTAAGTCTCACCGTATAGCCACTTAAAGCTTTGAAGAATTGGGTGTGTTAGCATTTGTATGGCATTTGAATTTTTATTATAGGTATTATTTCCAAAGACAGGGTATAAAATATTAAATAAAGAGCATAGCTGTGGCAGAGTCTGGGCCTTGATGACAGATCACTAGATTCAGATAGCAGTTCTGTGCTTTCTCGCGTAATGGCTAGTAAGTTAACTTTGATTCTCAGTCTCATCTGTTAACTGGGAATAATGCCAGCCTTAGAGGGTTTTACTGAAAATGAAGGAAGATGAAAATGAATGAAGCACATACACAGTACCTGGCCCAAAAATAATAACTCTTATTAATAAAAATTTATGTTTTCTATTTAAGTATAGACATGCATATTAAATATCTTTTCATTGTAGTATTGCCTTGTTTTTCTCATAAGAAAAGGGAAAGATCCTTATATGAACTTATTTTACTAATCAAAATTATGAGTAAATGCTTTTTCAGACATCAGCTAAAACATCTTTAATTTTTTTATACTTTTTAAAAACATTATTTATTTTTATTTTTGGCTGTGTTGGGTCTTCATTGCTGCGTGTGGGTTTTCTCTAGTTGCAGAGATCTTCATTGCAGTGCGTGGGCTTCTCATTGCGGTGGCTTCTCTTGTTGTGGAGCATGGGCTCTAGGCGCCCAGGCTTCAGTAGTTGTGGCTCATTGGCTCTAGAGCGCAGGCTCAGTAGTTGTGGCGCACGGGCTTAGTTGCTCCATGGCATGTGGGATCTTCCCGGACCAGGGTTCGAACCCGTGTCCCCTGCATTGGCAGGCAGATTCTTAACCACTGCGCCACCAGGGAAGCCCCCCAGATCTTTAATTTTAATAGTCACTAGTGTTGCTTAGTCTATCAAAAATAAAGTACCTATAGTTGTATGAAGCAGGAATGAGTGTGGGGTTGAAAATTGCTTTTAATGTTTTTTGAGGGAGCGTGTATTACAAACTATGTGGCCCTTTATTTTTTAGGAAGGAAGGCAGGAAATTGATGAGGAAATAATATGAAACAACATGCTTTTGTTAATCTTTGGAATTTAAACAGCACTTTTAGTAACCTAATAAAATCATTATTCCACATGCTGGAATAATGCACTAAAGTAATCCTTTTTTTAGGACACAGCATTTGTGTCATGAACAATAGTCGGTTCACATTTAGTTAGCTTTCACTTTGTGCAGAGCCAATAGATGGAACTAGGAAGTAAGATGAAAGCACAAAGTTGCATCTAATGCTCTTGTAGTCACTGTTATTTCTTAAGAGTTGGAGAAAAAGAAGTAATTTTCTCTATGCAAAGTTCTACACGTACAAGGACATGAAGTCATCTCTGTTTGTGCCAGAATCATCAGATCTCAACTTCTAGGCATCTCATAATGTGGGGGTAAAATCAGGCTTGGTAAAATTAAAAATATATTGTTTACATATTTTAAGGTGTGGTTAGAAAAGCTCCTTAAAATGTTTAACCATCCCTTTAACTCTTTTTCAAACCTACAGAAAATATGAAAGAATATTATAGTGGTAACCTGAAAATGTGTGCCTTTTTTGCATCCAAGAATGCACTAGCGAGGAGAAATTATGTAGTCTTATTATCTATCCTTTTCTTTTTTTCAGAGTAAATTTGTTCTAAAAAGAGTTATAAAAATAAATATTTTCAAATTTTACTTACATTAACAATTTGTACTTTTTTAAAGGGACTTTATTATTCCTACTTCAAAACCATTATCGAAGCACCTTCATTTTTGGAAGGACTATGGATGATTATGAATGACAAGCTTACTGAATATCCCCTTGCAATTAATACAGTGAAACGCTTCCATCTTTATCCAGAGGTAAGCAATATTTGGGAACAAATATTTGTAGAGGGATTCTTCTTTATCAGATAAAAATAGTAAGCACAATGATGTTATAGGAAGGAGGGGATTTTAAAGTTTATTGATTGTATGTGTCCTTATAGTTGAGCAGTGTATCAAGAGTTCCTGTCCTAAATTTAAAAGCCCCAGAAATTATGCTCACAACTTAAAGAATAAAACCTTAGTATGGAATTAATGACTAGTGTAATAGGCCAAATGGGAAGGAGCCAAGAAGGATTCTCGAGGGAGATGGTCTGTTGGCTTTATTTTTTTTAAAACCTCAATCTATTATTTTCTAATTCTAGCAAAAATATATCCTGTTAAATTCCTCTTCTTTTCCCCAAGCAAGTCTTGGTGAAAAGCAGTACATGGCTACTGCAGTATTTACAAAGACCATATATTACAAAACATCAGCAGAGAAAACGCTGTGGGAAGATATTATTGAAGCATTCTTTAATCAGTATTCATCAAATTACCTACTCCTTGATTTATAAAATGAAATAAATGAATGATTTGATAAAAGTAACATCAGGGCAAAAGCAAAATAGATACAAATATAAGTACAATAGCTTCTTTTAAAAAAGTTTTTATTGGAGTATAGTTGCTTTACAATGTTGTATTAGTTTCTACTGTACAGCAAAGTGAGTCAGCTATACGTATACATGTATCCCTTCTTTTTCGGATTTCCTTCCCATTTAGGTCACCACATAGCACTGCATAGAGTTCCCTATGCTATACAGTAGGTTCTCATTAGTTATCTATTTTATACATAGTATCAATAGTATATATATCAGTCCCAACCTCCCAATTCATCCCACCCACCCTTTTCCCCCTTGGTCTCCATACATTTGTCCTCTACATCTGTGTCTCTTTTTCTGCTTTGTAAATAAGATTGTCTATACCAATATTTTCAGATTCCACATATATGCGTTAATATACAATATTCGTTTTTCTCTCTCTGACTTGCTTCACTCTGTATGACAGTCTCTAGATCCATCCATGTCTCTACAAATGACCCAATTCGTTCCTTTTTATGGCTGAGTAATATTCCATTGTACGCATGTACCACATCTTCTTTATCCATTCATCTGTCGATGGATACCTAGGTTGCTTCCACGTCCTGACTATTGTAAATAGTGCTGCAGTGAGCATTGTGGTGCATGACTCTTTTTGAATTACGGTTTTCTCAGGGTATATGCCCAGTAGTGAGATTGCTGGGTCATATGGTAGTTCTATTTTTAGTTTCTTAAGGAGCCTCCATGCTGTTCTCCACAGTGGCTGTATCAATTTACATTCCCACCAACAGTGCAAGAGGGTTCCCTTTTCTCCACACCTTCTCCAGCATTTATTGTTTGTAGATTTTTTGATGATGCCCATTCTGACTGGTGTGAGGTGATATCTCATTGTAGTTTTGATTTGCATTTTCTAATAATTAGTGATGTTGAGCATTTTTTCATGTGTTTGTTGGCCATCTGTATGTCTTCTTTGGAGAAATGTCTGTTTAGGCCTCCAGCCCATTTTTTTGATTGGGTTGTTTGTTTTTTAATATTGAGCTGCATGAACTGTTTGTATATTTTGGAGATTAATCCTTTGGCCGTTGCATCTGTTGGCTTTAGAGACCGTGTAGATGGGTATACTGATCACATGAAGGGACAATGACAGTGACGAGTAGAATAGTGACCTTGGGGATACATTAATAAGGCAAGATTTATTTAGTTATATAGCTAGAAATCTATGAATACTTCCCAATACTAAAAAAAGTATGAACTTTATGATAGTCTTCAAATTCTAGAAATTGGAAAAAAGAAGAAAAAAAATAGTAGATTCAGTTTGTGAACTCTGAAGATAAATGCTGACTTGACAGCATGGTAAGAACTACTTTTGAGTTATCTCAGAATCCAGCAGATTAGTTAAAAAGTCTAGCTTTTTATTTCTTTCTTCATATTTTATAGCTTTTAAAAATTATTATTTTGATTTTAAATGTTTAAAATTGCAGAAGCTAGAGAATAATGTGCAAATATGTGTGGTCAACCACCTACAATAAATAAGTGCTATTCTTTTATCATTTTTGCTTCTGATATTTTAAAATAAATAAAGCATTATAAATACAGTTAAAGTCATCTTTGTTCTGCTTCCCAGTTAAGTTTGTTCCTTTCCCATTCTCACAAGCATCATTATCGTGAATTTGATGTGTATATCCATCCAGTTCTTTTTTCAAGGATTGTTTTATGTGTTTTTGTAATTTCACATAAGTGTTCTCATACTGAACATATCACTCTACAACTTTTTCCTCAGTATTTTATTTTGGAATTTCTGAAAATGTATGTACATATTTATTTTTCTTTAATTTCAACCATTTTATGAATTCCAAAATTATTTGTATATTTCCCTATTATGGATATTAAATTATTTCCAGTTTTTAAATTACAGATATAAACCATATAATCCAGCAGTTGTACTCCAGGACATTTATCCCAGAGAAATTAAAATTTATATTCACACAAAAACCTGTACACATTTATTGTAGCTTTATACATTGTAGCACAAAACTGCAAACAACACCGATGTCCTTTGACATGTGAATGGTTAAAGAAACTGTGGTACACTCATACCAGGAATACAATTCAGCAATAAAAAAGGAACAAGCCATAAGAAACTGCCAAACTGTTTTCCAGAGTGGTTATGCAATTTTACATTTCTACCAGGAATGTATAAGTGATTCACTTTCTCCACAGGGTCTCCAGCATTTGGTGTTGTCACTACTTTTTATTTTAATGATTCTGATTTATCAGAATGTAGTGATTTATCATTGTGGTTTTAATGTGCATTTCCCTAATGACTAATGTTGTTGAACGCTCCTTTTTTGTGTTTATTAGCTAGCTATATACCCTCTTCAGTGAAATGTGTCTTCATGTCTTTTGCTAATTTTCTAATTGGGTTTTTTTTTTTTTAATGTTGAATCTTAGGATGTTCTTTATATATTCTAGGTACTACTTCTTTGCCAGGTATGTGGTTTGCAAATATTTTCTCCCGGTCTATACCTTGTTTTTTCATCCTCTTAAGTAGAGTCTTTTGCATAAGACAATTTTTAAATTTTAATGGAGTCCAGTTTAGCAATTTTTCTTCTTGTGGATTGTGCTTTTGGTGTCAAGTCTAAGAATTCTTTGCCTAGCCCTAGATGCTAAATATTTTCTACGTTTTTTTCTAAAAGCAATTAGAATTCTATCTGTGATCCATTTCATTTTGAATTAATTTCTTTATGTGACGTGAGACGTGAGACTTGGGTAAAGGTTATGTTGTTGTTGTTTTTTACCTATGGATGTCCAGTAGTTTCCATACCACTTGTTGAAAGGGCTATCTTTTCTTCATTGAATTGCTTTTGCACCTATGTGACAATAAATTAGGCATATTTCTATGGGTTTATTTCTGGGTTCCCTTCTCTCTTCCATTGATTTATGTGTCTATCCCTCTGCCAGTACCATATAGTCTTGATTTAATGTACCTATACAGTAAGTCTTGGATTAGGTAAACTGATTTCTCTCACTTCATTCTTTTTCAAAATTGGTTTAGCTAGTTCATGTGCCTTTTAATGTGTATTTAACAATAATGTTTTCTATATCTAATTCTATTGATACTTTAATAAGAATTACATTAAACATGTAAATAAATTTGAGGAGAACTGACCTCTTTGCTATTGAGTCTTCTAATTCATGAACATGGTGTGTCGCTTGTTTATTTAGGTATTCTTTGGTTTCTTCCAAAAGCATTGTGTAGTTTTCAGCATACGAGTCTTGTATGTGTTTTGATAAATATACGCCTAAGTATTTCATGTTTTTTTAAATGATGATAAAGGGGATTATATTTTTAATATTGATGCCCACATGTTCATTGTTACATGGAAATACAGTTGATTTTTTTGGTATGTTTATCTTTTACCCTGCAATCTTGCTGAATTCAATTATTAGTTCTAGGAGTATTTTTTTTTTACACATATGTTGGGATTTTTCTACATAGTGAGGCATTTAATATGCAAATAGAGTATTTTTTTTTCTTTTAATCTGTATGTCTGTTATTTCTCTTATTTACCTTATTGCACTGGCTAGAACTTTCAGTACTATGTTTATTAAGACTGGTGAATGTGGACATCTGGACCTCATTCTTTTTTTTTTTTTTTTGGTACACGGGCCTCTCACTGTAGTGGCCTCTCCCATTGTGGAGCACAGGCTCCGGACGCACAGGCTCAGCAGCCATGGCTCACGGGCCCAGCCGCTCCGCGGCATGTGGGATCTTCCCGGACCGGGGCATGAACCCGTGTCCCCTGCATCGGCAGGCGGACTCTCAACCACTGCGCCACCAGGGAAGCCCCAGGCCTCATTCTTGATCTTAGGGAAAAAGCATTCAGTCTCAAACCATTAAGTATAAAGTTAGCTGTAAGTTTTTTTGCACATGACCTTTATAAGATTGAGGTAGTTCCTCTCTTATTCCTAGTTTTTTCTGTAAGTTCTTATCAGAATGGGTATTGAATTTTTTCTAATGCTTTTTCTGCACCAATTGATATGATCATGGAATTTATCTTCTTTGTTCCATTAATATGATGGAGTACATTCATTTTTTCATACTGAAATAGTCTTGCATCCCTGGAATAAACCCCATCTGATCATGGCATATAATTATTTTAGTATATTGCTGAAATCTATTTACTAATATTTTGTTAGGGTTTGTTACGTCTGTCTTTATAAGGGGTATTAGTATGTGGTTTAATTTTTTGGTACTTTCTTCGTTGGTTTTGGTATCAAGTATCAAAATATCTTTAACTCCAAACCTGAGAAAATAAAGCAAAGGGAAAGTCCAGGGAACCTATTACCATGTCATTCCTTGGGCCCTGACATTCCTATCTAGTTTGCCTCTTTTCTCTACCTTTAAGGGTCTTCTTGTGTTTGATTTATATTATTCACAGGAGTTCTAGTTGTACTTGTAGGAATAGGAAATTTACATTATTTAAATGTTGACTTTTTTTTCATTTTCATTTAGTTTAAGTGATTTTCTAATTTCCCATGTGATTTCTCCTTTGATCCATTGGATACTTAAATATTGTTATTTAATTTCAGAGTACTTAAGGGTTTCCCAAATTTCTTTCTTTTTTTCTTTTAATTTCTATAAGTACTTTTCAATGTAATTTGTAGTAGTAACAATTGTATAGTATAGACCTACCTAAGATCTAAGATGAAAGAAGCAGTTTTCTGCAGCAGCTTTCTCTATATCCCGGCTTACTTTTCAAAGGCAGTCTGACCATATTTCCTCTAATGATTATCTGTCTAATTCTAGTGTAAATGGAAAAATCAAAAAGAAAAAAAAAACTGTTGAATCTTCAACTTTAGTTAACATTCACTTAGTCTGTGTATATAAGATAAGGACTTAGCTTATTAGACTAGGCCCATTTTTTCCAGTGTTTGTTAAGTATTATTTTTAGTTTTTGATTACTTTTGGAACTTTTTGTCGTTACATCTCTGTTTCTTGTTCCACTAGTTTCAAACAGTATGGTCTCTAAAACATTAGCTAATTTTTTTCTTTTTACTTATTAAAAATATTTATTGAATAACTTGCAGTTTTCAGCTTCTTTGATGCTTTGAAAAAGTAATCATGGTAATGTAGTTCATTTGTTTTCAAAACTTGAAAGCATGTAAATGACAGGCAACAAGGACTCGTCCAGTCTTATTTTCATATTGCATAGATACAATATGCAGATTTACATTTGCTTGCGACCTTATATAGTACTTAAGTGTTGAAGTAAATGTCCATACTTTGTGTTCACAAGATTAATTTCTCATCTAAAGATGAAATTAATTTCTCACCTAAAAGTGTAAGTTTGAAACAATGTATTTTGTAAAGACAAAAGCATTTAATGCTTACTATATGCCAGTACTTATATATATAAGCTCTAATCTCCAATCACTCTTGTAAGACGGTTATTATTGATATTAACCTCATTTAACAGATGAGATGACTGAGGTTCAGAGGTTGAAGGATTACTTCACACCGTAGAAACCATACCTTGTAGAGTCAGAATTTTTTGTTCTATTTTGACTTCAAAGTCATGCTTTTCTACTGTATTAAACGACATCTCAGAAAGGAGTATAATTCTAGAATTTGCACATACATTTAATGTGGAAATTTTTTGTACATGTATGAAAAACACACAAGAATAGAAGTTATAAGTTTAAACAGAATGTCATCTTATAAAATTAAGTGATAAAATCGTAAATAATACTATATATGAAAAGATGTTTATGACATTGTTTAGTGATGTATATTACATTAACATCTTATAATACATAATATTACATAATGAATAACTCTAACTACATGTTTCTTATGCCTAGGGAGAGACTGGAAGGATGGTCACCAAAATAGTAAAAGTAGTTAGTTCTAGGTTATTTTTAGTTTCCCTTTGAGCTCCTCTTTACTTTTTTTTAACTTTTTTCTCCAATGATTTTGCATTATTTTTCCCAAATCTATAAAATTATTTATTAAAAAATCTCCCAGGCATGAGCATTTTGTCTGTAATTTTTTTGTTGCTATTTTCCCTTGTCTTTAAACTTTTTTTTTTTTTTTAATATTTATTTATTTATTTTTGGCTGTGTTGGGTCTTCGTTTCCGTGCGAGGGTTTTCTCTAGTTGCGGCGAGCGGGGGTCACTCTTCATTGCGGTGCGCGGGCCTCTCACTGTCGCGGCCTCTCCTGTTGCGGAGCACAGGCTCCAGACGCCGCAGGCTCAGTAGTTGTGGCTCACGGACCTAGTTGCTCCGTGGCATGTGGGATCTTCCCAGACCAGGGCTCGAACCTGTGTCCCCTGCATTGGCAGGCAGATTCTCAACCACTGCGCCACCAGGGAAGCCCTAAACTTTTTAAAGTAGATTTCAGGTTGGGAAGTACTGGTTAATTAAATCTGCTTGGTCAGTGTTTTAATGGGCACAGGAGCTGTTATTCCATGTGCAGTTGGTTTTATAGACTATGAGTTGGTTTTTAGACTATGAAGAAAATAAGTTCAAGGACCTAAGGGAAGTGTTACAAAATACTTCTGTAAATCTTTGTATTTTGCTATTAATTATCATAATTATGTACTTCATGCTTGATTTGACAGCTACTATTAATTATGTTAGAGTTGATTACAAGAGTATATTACAGAGATGTTGATCACAACATAAATTTTGTAGATGTGCATTACTCAGTAATACATAACTTTAGTTGATAGTGTGTGTGTATAAAATTTTAAATGATTGTTTCCCACATGAAATGATTTAAATAAATTCATCAAAGTTTATAATGTTAAAGGCAACCATCATAAAATGGTATTTTGGAAAAATTATTATTAAGAAGATATTGAATTTTTCTTCATTATCTTTTTGATTTTATCTTTTGTAGGTGATTATAGCCTTCTGGTATCGCACATTTATGGGAATAATGAATTTATTTGGGCTGGAAACAAAGACCTGCTGGAATGTGACCAGAGTAGAACCTCTAAATGAAGTTCAAAGCTGTGAAGGCATGTTTCTTCCTAAAATGCTGTTGTATTGTCATTAATGTTTACATAAACATAATGTTATGACTCCTTTAAGAATTACTATAAACTACTGTGATTTTTTTTCTTTAAAAACAGTCTAGAACTGATTCACCTAAAAGTGTATTTACCCTTTAATTTTCTGAGAAGACAATGTACTTGCTAATAAGAGTGTTAATTTGGAATTTAATTTGAGTATTAATATGCTCCAGTGTAAGGCCACACTGATTATAAGTCATTCCTCCATTTCAGAAGGTACAAAAAAAGCTCTGGGGTGGCTTGAATATATAAATTTGGGGGATGTAGATTAAATAGTCACAGTTCTACCTGTAATAGTTAACATAAATAGTTAATGTAAAAATTTAGTTATGCATAAATATTTAAAAATCAGATATATAATAGATTACTTTAGAAATTCTGCTGTTTTTGTGCTCTCACAGTCCATGAATAGTTCTAATCAAACTCTTCATATACATCTTCTACATCAGTATCTTTGTCAAAGAACTGCTTTTCGAATCATCTAACAGTTTTCCAGGATCTGTGATTGTCACTTCCATTTAAGATGTTTGCAGTTTAGCACTGTTACAATCTTAGCATGATGCTGTTCCTTGAAACTCTTATTTGAAATCACATGTATCTACTTGCATAACACATAGTTGTTTTTTCTTTATTTCTTCATATTCTCTAGAACATTATGTTTTATAAATATATTTTTGTTGACTTGTGTATAGTAACATTCAGTTCTCAGAATATATCCTAAATTTGTATTGCCATGTTGCCCTTATATTTTTACTGATTCCCTCAGATGGTCTTTATAACCATGGTCTAAAGCAGCATTGGTAGAAGATATTTGAGGGCAATTAGACTGTTTTTTTTTTTTTTTTTTTGTACAAACTAAAGGAATTGAGCGACTGCCTGAACCAGCTTATAAGGTATAAACTTTTCTGAGGGATGGGAAAAAATCACCTTATATATATACATATATGGTATTTATTAAGTTGCCACTAAGTTATAGGTTAGTGTTGGCACTTGGGACCCCAAGATAAACTGGGTAAACATGGGGCCTTACCCTCATAGAGTTTGCAACATAAGAGGGATGTTAGCGGTTACAACTGTGGTGGATGTTACAAATAGGAAAATAAGATTGCTGAGGTTAGGAGAAGTGTTTCAAGAATAGGAACCATAATTTTCCAAAGTCCTGAGGCAAGGGAGAACTGAAAGAAAGCTAGATTTCCTAGAGCAGAGAGATAGAGAAGAAAACATGGTGTGAAATGATGCTTAGAATGTAAGCAAGGGTCCGATAATGAAGGACCATTTACTAGTCAAGGATTTTATGTGTATTCATTGAAGACTTTTGACAGATTTTTATTTTCAAAACACAATTTTGGCAGTTACATGGAAAAGACACTAGTAAAGGACAAAAGTGAATTCAGTGAGGCCAGGTAGGAAACTATTTTGCTCTCAGCAAGTGATTGCAGGAAAGGTAACTGGAAAATGAATGGATTTGAGAGATAGCTGGAAGGAGAAACGACAAGATTTGGTAATTGTTTGATGGGGAAGGGGAAGGAGAATGAATTTATGTAACACTGTTGGGTTTCTGGCTTAATTGAGTCCCTCCATTCAAAGTGGTATGAAACATTTTTAAAAGTAGCAGGTTTGAATTGCTATTAATTCGAGGTACCTGAGAAACCCCAAAGTGTAGATGTCAAGAGGCTACCTGCATATACATACCTATAGGAATAAGAAGAAAGTTCTCATCTGAAGGTACACTTGGAGTCATCTGTATATAGATGATAATTGGAACCATGGAACTGGAAGAATTTCTTTAAGGAGAATATACAGACTGAGAAAAGAAGAAGGTATATGACAGAGCCTAAGGTGGTCCAACATTGAAGGGGGGTGGTGTAAAAGGATGAGAAGTTACTAGGACAGACTGAAAAGGAATGATCAGAGAAGAAGAAGAAATCAGAAAGGCCAGCCTTTAGATCCTGGCTCCACCAGTTACAGCTAAATAACTTTTGACAAGTTACTTAAGTTTTCTGTGTTGTTTTCTCAACCATTAAAAAACGTATTTTCATACCAAGTAATTTCAAAGATTTGTTCTGAGTATTATGTGAGATGATGATTGCAAAGTACCTAGTAGATTATGTGTGTGTGTTAATATATATATATATATGTATTGTCTTATACACAGGATATATTAAGTATTAAGGTCCTGGCTATACATGATAATGGATTAATTTATCCCATACAGACTAAAGCTGCTCCTTGAAGTCAGGGGCCGTATTTTACTCATCCTAGAGCCTAGCAAAAGATAAAATTAATGCAATGGATTTTCGCTTGTAATTTATCAAATGGCTCTACAGACAGTTCTAGATACAGAACAATAGCAGCATCACCTAAATAAAATGAAGCACCAACTAATCATTACACTATAACAACACTTCACTAGGGAAAAGTATAAATGTAACTAATAATGCCTCATGGATGGGGAAAGTACTAATGTAACTATTAAATAGAGCAGCAGTCTGAGCAGCAAAGCTTTCAGCAAATTCACTAGCTCTTGATTACAAAGCATTGAGATAATTATGCCCAATTACTGTATAGTAATTTATTCATTACATACTGAATAATCTGTGTCTTTTTAAAGGATTGGGAGACCCTGCTTGCTTTTATGTTGGTGTGATTTTTATTTTAAATGGAATAATGATGGGATTGTTCTTCATATATGGTGCATACTTGAGGTAAGACTACTGTATTAAAAGATCTTTCAGTGGGATAATAAGGACTTTCTGACATTTGTTGATTAAATTAAAAGGATAGGGCTTCCCTGGTGGCGCAGTGGTTGAGAGTCTGCCTGCCAATGCAGGGGACACGGGTTCGTGCCCCGGTCCGGGAGGATCCCACATGGCGCGGAGTGGCTGGGCCCGTGAGCCATGGCTGCTGAGCCTGTGTGTCCAGAGCCTGTGCTCCGCAACGGGAGAGGACACAACAGTGAGAGGCCCGCGTACAAAAATAATTAATTAATTAATTAATTAAAAGGATAAATAACAAGATTAATTGACTAATAGTAGGAAACCTTTAGATTTTATTTTTTTCAGAAGCTGAGCCAAATATGCAGCCAAAAGCTAGAGCTGTCACTAAAACAATGTCTTAAAGACCTGTCTTTTATCCTTATGGGGGTATTTTTTAAGCTTATTAAGATTCCTGAACAAAGATTTTAATGAAAATACCTCTAGATCATGTGTAAAATTATTATAACATTAGAGGGGATCTTTGGTTGGCATTAGTAGCAAAGTATTAATATTTCTAATTTTCATCTCTGTACATGTGAAATTAAGAAAGCAGTAAAAGAAAATGTATATCACTTGTAGCATACACTTACATTTGATAGCCTATCTTTCTTGATAACAGCACCACAATTTTGTTTGGGGTAGCAGGGTGCCCAATTTCAGGTGATAGGTTGAAGTTAACTATGACCATTGTGTATTCTGCTTCCCACTCTCCATTGCATGTTGGGAGAGCCATATGAGCTAGCTTTTCTGGTGAAAAAGAAAGTGAAATCAGACTTGGTTACACCAGGAAAGCATTTGCCTTTCTAACAAAAGGTTAGATTCAGCTGCCGCTTTTCTGTTATTTTCCTGCTTTTACCTGGATGTGATACCTGGAGCTATTGCAGTCATTTTGTGATCATGAGGAAAAGGCCATAAACATAGCACATATGTCTGCCTTTTTTTTTTTTTTTGCAGTATGTGGGCCTCTCACAAACCCTGCAGTTCCTCTATTCCTGTGCTTTCTAAAGATTCTATAGTCTTTTGAGAATCTTTCACTTACATATTAGCCATAAACCATACTTGTTTTATTGTTTTTGTTTTTGTTTTTTGTGGTACGCGACCTCTCACTGTGTGGCTTCTCCTGTTGCGGAGCACAGGCTCTGGACGCGCAGGCTCAACAGCCATGGCTCATGGGCCCAGCTGCTCCGCGGCATGTGGGATCCTCCCAGACCGGGGCACGAACCCCTGTCTCCTGCATTGGCAGGTGGACCCTCAACCACTGCGCCACCAGGGAAGCCCTCATATGTCTGCCTTAACATCCTTCTGCTGCTGAACCAATGCCAACAGACACTTATCTTTTATTTTCTTGTTGAATGATATAATAAGCATCCATATTATTTAAGACACTTCTGTCAGATTTTGTTTTTGACAACAGAATACATTTTTAACTGAATCATCAGATTTCTTTACAATGTTATTCTTGAACTGTGCAACATTAAAAGTGAAAAATCTAGATTTAATCTTTCAACAATTACTGAGTTTTCATAAGGTTTATGTTTCTATAGAGATTAATACATATATACCCCTTGGTTTTGGAAGTTTTCAGCATAAAAATCCTAGCACAGAATCAGTGAAAAATTGTGATCTTGATAAAATTGTTGGCCTTGATAAGCTGATTTTAAAATTATTCAGAAATGCACAGGGCCTAAAATAGTTGAGACAATCCTGAAGGAAATGTGAGAACTTGCTTCATTAATTATTTCTGTATTATAAAGCTAATGTAAATAAGACAATGTGATATTGGCATAGAGATAGACAAGTAGATCACTGGAATAAAGTAGAACCCAGAAGCAGAAATGTACATTGATATACACCTGGTATATGACAAAGTGGATATTACAGATCAGTGAGTAAGGATAGGCTTCTCAATAAATGGTGCTGAAATAATGGGGAGATCGTATGGAACAAAGCAGAGTCAGAACTTATGAAAAACAAATACTAGTTGGATTAAAAACTCAAATGCGATAGACAAAATTATAAAATGTTTAAAATGTTATATAGAAGATTATCATCAGTAACTTGGGGGTAAGAAAGGATTTCTTAAACAAGGTACAAAAGTCCAGCCATGAAGAAAAAAACTGATAAATTTGATGAAAAGAATTTAAGTTCCTCAAGATATAATAGAATGAAAAGATAAGCCACAAGCTGGGAAAAGATACTGCAAAGCATGTATGCAATGTGGTATCCAGACTTACATTCATTAATTAGACAAATATTTATTGAATGCCTACTGTGACTGGGAGCACTATTCTAGGTGCTAGGAAAACAAAACAAACAATCCCTGTCCTCATGGAATTTATATTCTAGGGGATAGACAAAGACTAAGAAGATAGACCACCCAACTGAAAATCGGACAAAATATTTATGAATAGACATTTCCCAGAAGAATTCCAGATTGCCAATAAACATGTAAAATTGACGACCATCATTAATTATGGGGAAAAGACTAATTTAAACCACAATGAGATACCATTTCACACCTACTGGATTTACAAAGGCAACTTTTAACCCTGGTGGGTGGATATATAAATTAGTACAGCTATTTTGGAAAAATGGTGTGCATTATCTAGTAATTTGAAGATACACGTACCTTATAACTCAGCAATTCCAATTTAAAGTAAATATGCCTAAGAAACTCTTTTATGTACACCAGAAAATATATACAAGAACATAGCAGCATTGTTTGTACTAGCTCCAAACTAGAAACAACTTAAGTGTCCTTCAGCAGAGAAGTGTACACATTGTAGGTTTATTAATACAGTGAAATACTGTACAACAATGATAATGAACTATAGCTACAAACATCAATGTGGAAAAGTCTTACAAATATAATGTTGAATGAATCAAGGCATGCACAAAATTTAAAAATACTGCATACTTATATTTGTATAAAGTTTAAACACAGATTAAATGATAGTATGATATGTATATAGAAGCAGTTATATTGGTAATCACAAAACTCAGGATAGTGGCTGTCTTAAGAGGTGGCAAGTGAGGTCTCAGGGTGTGATCAGTTTTCTGTTTCAATGATATATGGTAGTTACAAGAATATCTACTTTATAAGTGTTCTATAAGCTATCTAGAAATTTTTATGTACTTTTCTATATGTGTGTCAGATAGGAAAAATACATAAGCTCATCAGTATTTTGAGGGAAAGGATGACTTAGATTATGTTAACAGGCTTTAAATTGTTCTAGTTTAAAAAATAGTTTATTTATTATGCTTTTTTCAAATATGGAAAATGTTACACGAGACTAAGACATTTTAAAAGTTAGTACTTTTCATTGGGAGAGCTACCCAAAAGGTGAAAGTCTTCTCTAAATTGGTTACACAGTTCTAGAATATCAAATACATTATTAGGCTCCAGTCTTTAAGAAGGATATGTAGATATAACATATGTTGGCTATAAAAGTGTCACCAAAACTGTGAGGAGATTAGAAACTATGGCATATGAGAATATGAGAAACAAAAGAAATAGGGATTTGGGGAAATTTTTCTATTTCTTACCTTGGCCACACTTCCGCACTGGCACTAACTTGGAAGGTAGATATTCCATTTCTATTCTTTTGGTGGTTAATGATAAAATGTTAACATGCATATCTAACTTGATCAAGTCTAAAATTAATTGATATCTTTCCTCTTCTTTTTGATCAGTACAAGGAATTTCAGAACACTTTATTTCAAAACAGCCCCTAGCATCTTGTAATTATTACCATAATTTAGTACTTCTAGTACCTCTCCACAGCAGTCATCACTGTTATTTTTTGTTGTCAAATCTTCCTTAGATTTATCCACATGTTCCTAGTTTCTATATGCAGCATTTGTTCTTGCTTCTCACACCTTCCTCCTTTCAATTTCTTCTTTTCTGATGTGCGTCCTTTGAATTTCCCTTAGTGAAAACTGTTAAAGGTAAATTACTTCCCATTGGCTTTCCTCTGCTTGTTTTGTTAAACTCATTCTTTCCTTTTTTCAATCATTCAACCAATATTTATTGTCTTCCGAGTCTGAAGCTGTGTATATAATGATGAACAATACTTTAAAGAAAAGGCAACTTTAAGAAGTGGTTTTTAATCTTTGATAATAATCAGCCATCCTTGATCTCAGTTTTGTATTCTACATTGTTGTTTCTTGGGACTCAACAAAAGAATATTTGCAGTAGTTTAGATGGTTCAGTTACCGCTAAATGAAACTGTTAGACTCTTCATCTCTCAGTCACTGAAATCCAATTTGGAATGACAAAAATTTGCCTCCACTCAGAATATTCAAAGAATACAGTATAAACTCTAAAGTGCTGGCCTGTTCGTTAAAAATTATTTTATGTTCACATATAATATTTTACATAGAAAATATTTTAAATATAAAATTAATGACATTCAGATTACTTTGTATGTACACTTTGTATGCTTTTACATTCAAGAATAAAACATCAACTACATGGGTACTTTTGAAATTTTTACTGTTATTTTATATTGTTTAGTACTATGACATTTTAAAAATCTAAGATAATTTTGTGAAAAACTCACTATATTTTACATGAATTTTGATTGTATACATTTTTTTTTACAGTGGGACTCAACTTGGAGGTCTAATTACAGTATTATGCTACTTTTTCAACCATGGAGAGGTTTGTTTTCTAGAAAATAATTTGTACAAATAGAAGGGGTGGCATAGGAACAAGGAAACTTATTCATCAAAACAGTATTTAATTGTATATTACTTAGGATTTGACAGTATTTTAAAGAACCTTGTGTTGTAAGTTGATGTTTTAATCATGTTGATCCACATTTTTACATAATAATTAGAATTTATGGTGTGAGCTATCTTGCCTGGTTTTAGAATATATATATGTTACATATATTTTATAGAAAAAGGAAGTACTATATTAGTTGAGTTTAGGCACTTTATGTACATTATCTCACTCCCACCAAAATTTTTAGGGAGGTGGCTGTTATCCTCACAGTAGAAGATATGAAATTGAAATTTGGAGAGGATAAGTTACGTACTCAAGATTCCACATTCACACCATGATGAAGCTGGGTTTCCTCTTCTACATCTTTCTGGCTCTAAAACCTTACTTTTTTCTGTTACATCATGCTGCCTTTTTAATTACACAAAATGCTGAATTCAAAATACAAATTAACTTACTAACTCAGCCCAATAAGACATGGTCCACCTAAAAAGAGTTCATGGAAACTTACTTAGAATATGATAGATTCATTCAACAAAATATCAAGTACAAAATGTGTGCCAGAGTCTGTGTTAGATGCTGAGGATATGGCCAAGAAAAGTGGAAGAATCTGACTGCTAGTTTTTGGAAGCAAAATATGTAGTATGTTATGGCACAGATTATATAGGGTGGAAGTCTCTATCCATTACTATTGGGAAAGGTAGATACTTGGTTAATTTTAAAAAATCAGTTAGACAAGGGAATCATAAAAATTATACATAAGTATCTTAAATATATTAACTTAAAGCAAACAAATACATTGTCAGTCACCAGTGTATTAGTATAAACACAAGACCTTTTCTTTGAGTATGCCAGATGACTGACACTATGAGTTGACCTTCTTATACATACCGTAACTCACCTTCCGAGGTTTACGATTTTGGTTTCCTGGAAGAAGAGCAATAAATTTTAAGACTCTTGCAAAGTTGTAAGAGTTTAGATTCTTTCTAGAATTTCAGAATTCTTGATATAAAATTTTATAATATTCCCACCCATATGTTTTGGAAATAGTTTTAAAGTCTATATGAAAATTTAATTAATACTTTCATTGTATACATCATATCAGTGAATCCCAAATACTTCTAGTTGTTTTTAGAAATTTATAGTTAACTCTTTCAAAGGTATATTTCACAAATTCAGAGACAGTCTTAATTACTTGTAGTGAGTGTCTATACACATTAAACTTGTCATGTGTAAACATTTGGTGTTTGTGAATGCCCTAGGTGACATTTGTTTAGATATTTTTCTGAACATGTATAAATCCCAAAGCCCTGGGTTGCCCAGGGTCATCACTGAAGAGCTGGAATGTGGATCTGGTTTGTCTTTCCCAGAATTCTCACTGCTCCTAACCCTATCATCTTGTTTGTCCTTCGAGTGTCCTTACGTTTGGCCTGATCTATCTTTCACTTGTTTCTGGACTTGCTAGTTAATGGCTCTCTACCTAATGGCTATGTGCTGTAAGAGAACTCCAAAAACTGAGGAGCTATACCAGGTATCCAGAAATAAATGAGCCTAGTATTAAAATTACTAAAACCAGCCCACCCATGATTTTTTAAATTAATTGTGTTTATTGCAATGGAACATAGAGTGAGGTAAGCATTTTATTGATTTCAGGCTACTCGGGTGATGTGGACACCACCTCTCCGGGAAAGTTTTTCATATCCATTTCTTGTACTTCAGATGTACATCTTAACTGTGATTCTCAGGTAATTCTTATTTATAAAACGAAACTAGCTAAATTGTAAATTTCTCAAAATTACTTCAACCTGTTGTTATAATTACTAAATTTGGACTCTTTTAAAAAATTACTTCAAAAATAAATTGTGTGTCCAGTTTAAAAAGAATCTAAAATTGCTATGTAAAAAATCGTTTTCCACTTAAGAGTCTAGGCTACAGGTTTTACATAACTGTTATGTTTTAATAAACCAATATGTATGTGTTCATATATATTTGGTAAAGATGCAAAGGTTTTTGAGAAAGTATTACTTTTTTCCCTCAATGCTTATGTACTCTGACTCATTGTTGTCCATCCTGTGGTTTTGATGAAGCATGAAAAAAAAAAGTGTTCTATGCACAAATAAATTTGGGAAATGCTAGGTTGGATAGATAAGGAGTATCTATATTCATATGTTTATGACTATATCGGAACTACAGATGTTTCTAGAAACTCAGCCAAAGTTTCATCTCAACTGTTTTTCCTGGACACATTTTTTGGTTGGGATTAATTTTATAAGCATTTCAGAAATTTTAAAAGTCTGAGGAACAACAAAAAAAACATAAATAGTAGAATACTATAAATAACTTTACCATAGAGATAGGTTCATAGAATGTTCATGAGATCTCTTATTGAGAGAGTGATCACTGTCCCCTCCAAACTCCCAGAGAAACTCGTAGTTCACTTACTAGTACCCATCAGATTTTGCCTATATTAAGATCATTTGTGTACATGTCTTCTTTCTTTCTTAAAACTGTAAATTTGTTAATAAAGCATACATACACAAATGTCTAAACATACACTTAATGTATTAAAATGCCACTGGAAACAGAGACCGTGCCACATTTATCTCTTTAACCATGGAGCACTTAGCACACTGCCATGTAGACATTTAAGGCCCTTATATGTTAGCTTAAGGAAGGTAAATAAAGGCATACTGGCGTGACTACCAACCTCTAGAAAGGTGCAGACTACCTTGTGGTTTGTTAACCTACATGAAAGTTTATTTTTGGATTGAATATGGATTTGGGAATCTGATCCTTATCCCGATTTCTATATCTTTGCTCTAAACCTTATCTTCTCTCAAAGATTATGGTAGAGGAAGCTGCCTATTTATCCCCACTCATCCCCAGTTAAATTTCTAGAAAGATGGTTTATTTTCCATTTTTATTTTTTGAAGTGATATTAGTCTAACCAATCAGAGAGTTCATGGAATTAAATATGTTAATTAGAACATTTAGAATTGTATCCTTGAGTGCATGTGTTATACTCCAGTCCTTAGCCAAAAGTAATTTTTATTTTATAAATATAACTGAGTACTTAGTGAATATATTTTGTGATAATATTATTAAACAATATGATCATTACAAATTTTGCTTTTGAAAATGTATATACCACAGTACAAGAATTTATGGAAATCCAATACAACCTTTATAAAAAGAAGAGTTACAGTTTTATAATTTACACAAAATACGTGCATTTCTTTTTTTCATATTCTAAAAGGTAATAAAATCTGTGTGGTAAAAGGTATTGGTTACTGATAAATCTCATGATTGCAGAATGGACGGTTTAAACTTCAATATGCATTAGTTTAACTGTATTCCAGAATTATTTCTTTAAAGTCATTGTTTAAAATCTCTTTAGGTTTTTCTCATAGTCGTTAGCTTATTATTTCACCAGCACTTATACTTTTCTTCATTGCTTTTTGAAACATAAAAGTGGTGGTATATGAAAGTTATTGCTGCTCATGTAGTATAAATATCTCGAGGTATGCAAGGTCAGTTCAGATTCTACTTTCTGACATTCTTGCTGGAGTATTAAATTTCTAATGTCATGCATAGTTAAAGAAAAATAAATTTTTAGTTGAATATAGTTGATTTACAATATTTTATTAGTTTCAGGTATACAGAATAGTGATTCATTATTTTTACAGATTATATACTCCATTAAAAGTTTACAAAATAATGACTTGAATTCCCTGTGCTATATGTTTAAGATACCTACTGATAAACTAGATACAATACTTTATTTAAAGCTCTAATTTTGTTTGTTTTATTATAAACATTTTTATAACCCAAATATTTTAAGTTCTTCTTAATGAGCTTTTAAAAGTTAACTATATTTTGTTGTCTAACATCAAAGGTAAGGGGATCAATAGATTTTAGCATTTTGCAACTAGTCATTCAGTTTAATGATAGGCTACTTTTATAGTAAAACTTACTGGTGTCAATTCTCTCCATTAAGGACATCGAACAATAGTAAAAAGCATTTTATTGCACTGTGCCTTTCCAATGTTGCTTTTATGCTTCCCTGGCAATTTGCTCAGTTTATACTTTTTACACAGGTAAGATGATTTTAAACTAATTTAAGTTGAATGCAAGATGTGCTTGCTTGTTTCCATAGGAAAAAAAAATTTTATTGAAGTATAGTTGATTTACAATATTGTGCTAATTTCTGCTGTACAGCAAAGTGACTCAGTTATACACATATATACGTTCTTTTTTTATATTCTTTTTCATTACAGAGAAATTTTAAATGTGATTATATTTGTGCCCTAATAGATTTTCAAAATATGGAATAATTATAAAGTTTATATACATGTGTGTTTTTTTTTACTCATATAAATCTACCTTCTGTTAATGTGTTTGTTAGTTAGGCAGATATTAAACCTGCAAAAGACTTTTTCCTCTTATTTTAATCCATAATTTTTCCTGTTGGTATTTGAGATGATCTCTATAAACCTTCCTGTAGATTTTCCTTTTGTCTGAGGAATCATTTTAGGTGCCAAGCTGCGCAACATGGTAAGGGCCACTTAGATTCTTCATGGTAGGGGATTTCTGCTTCTAATCCAGCTAAATGTTGGCTGTTCTGTCTGAAGAGCAGAATCTTACTGGACACCATTTCTCAGAGCTTTAATCATGGTATTATTCAGTGAATTGAGGCCATATCCTGTTTCTTCAAACAACTAAGTAACTAATAGCAAGAAACTGAGCTGGGGAAGCAGAGAGTAAAAGGTCAATTTGGATGAAATTTCCTACTATGATTTTTCTTTAGAACTCCTTTCCACCTAACTAACAAACACTGATAATATGTAATGATGTTCTTTATTGGCAGTGAGAAATTCTGCCAAGAATCCTTGTGCTGCCAATTGTCTACAAAGAATGAAGTTATAACCACAACTTAATTGATGCTGCATGTTTAAAGCATGTTAAGAGTATTCTCTCTGCCTTACTTCCTTATATTTGGTCTATAACAAACACAGAATTTCTGTGGTTTTCATTATTTGCATATGCCAACATAGTAGAATAGATTTCTAATGTGCATCATTTCCTGGCAAGGAAATGTATTAATTTAGCTCCTTCGGTAATTTTGATATTGCCTTAATGATTTTCTATCCATTCAAAAGTTATACTATACTTTTACTTGTTGTTGTTTCTTTTTTTTGAGATGTAATTAACATTTTGTAAGTTTAAGATATACGATGTATCAATACATCATTATATTGCAATATGATTATCCCCTGATTAACACCATAGTGTTATTTAACACCTCTATCAAGTCACATAATTATTATTTCATTCTTGTGGTGAGAACGTTTAAGATCTAGTTTCTTAGCAACTTTGAATTATATGATACAGTATTGACTATAATAACTATGCTATGCATTAGAACTGCAGAACTTATTCATCTTCTAGTTGCAAGTTTGTATACTTTGTCCAACATCTCTCTAATTCCCCCACCCCCAAGCCCCTGTTAATCACCATTCTACTCTCTGTTTTTACAAGTTTGGCTTTTTTAGATTCCACATACAAGTGATATAATAAAGTATTTGTCTTTGTCTGACTTATCTCACTTAGCATAATGCCTTCAAGGTCCATCTGTGTTGTCACAAATGGCAGGATTTATATATATATATATATATTTATATATTTATATACATATATATGTATATTTATATACATATATATATATGTGTGTGTAGCATGTCTTCTTTATCCATTCATCTGTTGATGGACACTTAGGTTGTTTCCATACCTTGGCTATTGTGCATAATGCTTCAGTAAACATAGATGTGTAGATATCTCTTCAATATTCTGTTTTCATTTCCTTTGGAATATGTACCCAGAAGTGGGATTGCTGGATCATATGGTAGCGGTATTTTAAATTTTTTGAGAAACCTCCATAGTGGTTTTCATAGTGGCTCCACCAATTTATTTACATTCCCATTAACAGTGCACAAGGGTTCCCTTTCCTCCACATCCTCACCAACATTTGTTTTCTTTTGTCTTCTTGATGATAACCTTTCTAATAGGTATGGAGGGATATCTTACTGTGGATTTGATTTTATTTCCCTGATGATTAGTGATATTGGGTGTCTTTTCATGTACCTGTTGGCCATTTGGATGTATTCTTTTGAAAAATATTTATTGTTCCTCTACCCATTTTTTAATCAGTTTTTTTTTCGTTATTGAGTTGTATGAGTTCTTTATACATTTTGGATATTAAGATTTCACCTAATAGATGATCTGCAGATATTTTCTCCCGTTTTTTGTTGATTGTTTCCTATGTTGTGCAGAAGCTTTTTATCAATAGTTTGATGTAGTCTCACTTGTTGATTTTTGCTTTTGTTGCTTGTGCTTTTGGTGTTACAATCCAAAAAATCATTGCCATGATGAGGGTCAAGGAGCTTATTCCCTAAGTTTTCTTCTAGGGGTTTTATGGCATCAGGTCTTACATTTAAGTCTTTAATCCATTTTAAGTTAATTTTTGTGAGTGGTGTAAGATAGAAGTCCAATTTCATGTAAATATCCAGTTTTCCTGACACCATTTATTGAAGACATTATTTTTCCCCCTAAGTATTCTTGGCTTCCTTGTCAAATATTAATTGGCAGTATATGCATGGGTTTACTTATGGTCACTCAATCTGTTCCATTGCTGTGTATATTAGTCTTTATTCCTGTACCATACTGTTTTGATTACTGTAGTTGATAGAGTAATGGGGGTTCCTTATATGTTACAGTCCTTTTTCTTTTTTGCTGCTTTTAGGATTCTCTCTGTCTTTGATTTTTAAGTTTCATTATAGTGTGTCTTAGGGAAGGTATTTTTCAGTTACAGTAATGGGGTGATTTATTAGCTTTGTGAACTTGCATGTCCAAATCTCTTCATAGGTTTGGAAGTTCTCAGCTATTATTTCTTTAAATAAACTTTCTGTCCTTTCTCCCTCTCTTTTCATAGAACTCCAGTGATTCTCTTATTTGATCATTTGATATTTTCATATAAATCACATAGACTTTCTTCACTCTTTTTCATTCTTTTTTCTTCTTTCTCCTCTGACAGCGTATTTCAAAGTTCCTATCTAACTCACTGTTCTGTCTTCTGTTTGGTCTGTTCTGATGTTGATACTCTATTGCAGTTTTCATTTCATTCATTGAATTCTTCAGTTCCAGAATTTGTTTTGTTCTTTTAATCATTTTTATCTCTTTGTTAATCTTCTCATGTTTTTCATGTATTTTTATCCTGATTTCATTGAATTGTATTTCTGTATTTTCTTGTACCTCATCGAGTTTCCACAAAACAGCTATTCTGAATTCTTTATCAGGTAAATCGTAGAATTCTGTTAGAGTTTGGTTACTGGAGGACTATTGAGATTTTTTGGTGATATTTCATGTTATTCTTATTCATGTTTCCTTGATTCTTCATGTTCCTTGAAGTTTTGTGTTGCAGTTTTTGCATTTCAGGTTGCCTTCAGGTGGGATATATTCTTCATTCATCCTGCTTATATCTGGGGTTTTCTCTGACCTTATATGGATACACCTGCTTCATGCTTCTTGCTCCCTCTGTGGCAGAATTATTAAGCTTGTATGTCTTTTCTAGACAGGCCCACAGACCCTGGCCTCTTTTTCACATGAGCTCCTTATCTACTAGAACTCACTCTTACTGCCACACGAAGGAACATGAAAAAGGAGACAGCTGCAGAGTCGGGAGAGGTGTGAGTTTAACACTCAGGAGGTGTCAAGAGTGCCTGCAGGCCAAGTGGAGGGATCCTTGGGTGGTTTTCTCAGCAGCTGGTAGGCAGGTTTCCTGCCAGAGTCCTGAGCACAACCAGAAGGAACTGCATCCTTTTAATGCCCTCTGATATTCTTATTTGCCTCTTTCTCAATCTCCTACCTGCCCCAGTCATGGAGGTCGCACCGCAGAGCTCTGAGTGCTGTGGGAAAGAAATTGTTTTTTCCAGCAATGTCCTGCATAGCTGGGGATGCCAGGCACACACTCATCATTCTCCTTTTCCCCCATGGGAGAGGTTGCCATTGGCTCGTTCAGGCTCTCACTGTGCCACCTTGGGGATAGGGTGGTGTTGACAAAGTTCCTCTTACTCTCTCTAGTGCATCCAAACTCATATATATTTTTGCTCCAATGAAGTGCTTGAGCCTCTCCTCAGGAAGACTGGATTCTACAGGGTTCTCTTGTCTGTGGGTGTCTGCCCAAGTCAGCAGTATCCAGATTTTCTTCAACCATAGCTGAGAAGAGCTGGGATTAGTTCACTGGCTCCTGCTATTCCACAGCCTGTACTGAGGAACTGTACTGTCTGCTTATTACCAGATACATAGGTGGGCAAGACTCCTTCCGGTTCCCTTGGCATATGGTGCTGGATCCCACAACTTCCACAGAGGCACTTTTGTTCATGGGTGGATGCCAAATTTTAGTTGTTAAAAGGGGGAGGCAGAAAAGCAGGACACCTTATGCTGCCATGATGCTGACGTAACTCCCAGCTTTTAGTTTTCTGAATTAACGTATAAAGTTTTGTTTGCTTCTGTTTTTTTTTTTTTAATACTAACGTGAAGATAATTCAATGTTATTTTTCTGGGAGTGTTCTAAGGCTTTTATTCTTGATTATATTTTTCACAGATTAAAGTTAAGATTAGTTCACGTCTCTTGCACATATTGTCTGAGAAATGGGGCTGAAGGACTCAAGGACTGGCTATATTTTAAAGGAAAAAAGTTACAAGCAACAGTTGTAGAAACCTAGAATATTTGGAGTGAGAAGACCTTAAAGCATTATCATTCTTAAGAAACTGAGAAATTGTGACTTACTTATTCAGTAACTGGATTTTAATTTATAATATGCTCTATTTTCTTATATTTTATTAGAGAATTCCCATTCATGTAGGAGAGATTGTTATGACCAAGCACAGTAACAGGGGTAGTTGCAGAAAGGAGGTTATAAAATCAGAAGTGATAGAGATGCAGATTATTTCCGGAAGAGATAGTATCAATATATCTATACAAAACTGGTTGTCAATTTCATATTCTTTCTTTATATAACTGATTCTTTGCTTGGGTATG